TACGAGCAGAGTCATAAAACCAAGGACGAGTTTTACTTCTCCGCCTTGGGAACAAGGATTTGTGCCTTTTCCTCCTTGCCTTGTTGTTCTCACATCAGGGTTGCTCAGGCGTATCTATCTGGGTTCTATCAAGCTGATGAAGAAGTAGAGTAGGCATCACAATTTCGCCTAATTGACATCCTCATAGCAGGCACGATAGACAGCCGCGTAACCAATTTTTCCAGATGTCGCTTCAGTTGCTAATTGCATTCCTGCAGACCACGGGACTGGGGCAGTTGCCGGGGGCGCACGTCACTTTCAGCCCTTCTCTTGAGGGTCGTAACCGATTCTCCCATTCGCGGCGTACGCACTCCTCTGGCCTTGCTAGGGTTTTTCATCCAGCAGCGCTCGACACTACTGGCAGGGCACCTAATTGGCCCCTTCGCCAAAACCGTGGGTAAATCCAGCAACCAACGTATTAAAGGAGGACATCTTTATTTGATAAGTATCGTGAAAGTGCACAGGCAATTGATATTGCATGGCTCAGAGCTCAGTGGCTTCCGCTCCGTCACGAGGTTGACGTATACTGATCCCCCTTAATAGGTCCGTTCAAGGAAACGCGTCTTGTAGGGTCAAACCCATGCGTCCGAAGAAATGTTCAAATAAAACGGAAACTTTGGGTTTTGAAGGAAAGATAACAAGCTCCAAAGAATACCAGCTGAGTTTATTTTCCGAAATGGACCCCTACTACCATTATGCAGTACGTAGCGAACACCCACAAATTGGCGTAGAAGGACTTGGAGGTGCTGCCACGGCAGTGTATCCTTGTTTGGAGATTAAGAACACAAAATTCTGTTCGCTTTGAACGCCCCCCGCAAGCTGGAAAGGTAGTTAAATTCACAAGCGATGTCTGGTTGCTCAAATCTTGTTTACGAAAGATGAAGGACTATTTTGAACTTCATCTCGCCGCCAATTGCAGATTCAGGGGAGTATACTCCTTGTCACACAGCAGTCCGTCCACAGTATATCACCAAAGCATCTGAGCTACATTTTTCATGCCATGGAGGAAGTACTCTAACTGGTCTTCTGCTACTTTTTCAGCCACCGCGGCTTCCTCGACGCAGACAGTGACCATTCAAGCCTCACAACCTCTTGATAGCACAAAGCTGGTCCTCCTTCGCCTTGCGCCGACGTCTCTGAAAATATTTTGCCTGTTAATACCTTCCATTTGTGCCATTAAAAGCCAACAGGCGTGCTTTTTACTACAGACGTCTAACCAGTGCCATTTGATATACCTGATTGCATTCCCAACACCTCTTTATATTTGAATGTTTTACTAGTAATTATATGGTGTATATGCCGAAAAAAAGGAATTTTTGCCTTTCTGCAGTTCCAACATTAGCAAAATCTTGCAGAATTAGTTGAATTTGACCAAAAAAGTGCGGGTCAAGATGCTCATGCACAAAGCCAGCTGGTATGGGTTGTCTCGGACCTCTAGACGGTCTCGAACGCAATCGGGGGATAGCTGTCTTATCTGAAGGTCAGATTATTCCTTCATGATTGATAATTTCGCTGGGTGAAGGAGCTCGATCACATAAAACGAGTCAGATCCAACTTGGCATGCCACTTTTTGATACTTACGAAGTAAAACGTCTTGATGAAATTACACAGCGAATTTTAACTTTCCTCAATGCCTTGGTCACCGTATGGAAACTCAGTAAGAGATGAGATCATCTGATCAAACTCAACCAGGGAATTAACGGAAGTGCGCGCTCCGCCACAGACTACTTCATGCCCAAATTTTAAACACAGGAGACTACTTGATCTTATCTGATAGTTTCATTTCCAGCTGCTTAACTGAACGCTACTGTTGTCAATAAAGCGTGCTTTCCGGAAACTAATTCTCACCGTCGTGCCGTCAACACGACCGCAGGCCATCAGTAAGGTTTGCTAAGGCTGGGGTTTAGTAGCCCCTCCAGCTACGACGGTAGACTCCACAGAGGAGAGTAACTCCAAGTTTCCATGAGGCAGAACACACTCGAGGATTGACGCAGAAAAAGACCATACACAAGGCCCACTCCACCACGCAACAGTGCGTGAATTTGAAATCGCCGGCCTCTCAAGAATTAACCGACCACCAAAACAGAAAAAAGTCAGAAAAACTAAACTGTCTAGAGTGCAAGCCTGGCAACTTCCACTACTTCAACAACTAGCATATCAAGTCCCGAAGTGCCAGGAGAAAACTGCTTCTGGAAATAACAACCGGGAACACAGACTGAAGAAATCAAGGTAGAACAAGGGTAGTCCTGCACACCATTAACGAAACACCTAAGGATCAGCCCACATGCCCATACTCTGAACGAAAAAATTTACTTAAAACATTACCGATGAAATTTTATTCACATCTAGCTACGACTGAATTCAATACGACGTTGAGGAGGTTTGCGGATTTTACGATCTGCCTTCGAACGACCTCGCAGGATCTTGCCATGGATGGCGCAGCTGACGCAGTACTGCAGCTTGACATACAACTTTGGCAGAGTGTAGCCTAAATGCACCGAATGTCACATTACATACAACGAGAATATAGCCGAGCCATAATTCTAATATAATAGATGCGCTGATCGTTTCCGGTGCCACTTTACTGCCAATCTTACTTATAGAATAGGGAATAAAATTAAAACAATGAAAATGGGAAAACCCGATCTGACCAAAAGTTAGGGTTCATTTAAAAGTTGACCAAGAGCTGATTCAGAAATAAAATACAAAAAAGTAAACACACCAGTGTAGAAGGACGCCTCTGTCAGATCCTTTACCGCAGCAGCTTCAGCTATGTTTCGGATAACGAATTTGGGGATGCATTTGTCCTTAGGACAGCACCTGCCACAGTTACTGCAGCGGATGAATTGGACGTGACCCCGGCCCTTCTTAGATCGACCATTATTCCTCCTTTTCTTAGTCTACACCAAACACGATCACAGAATACACAAAGTTACCATCGTTGAACAACGTGAAATCCGACCGTGGAGTCGGCCGAATTCTCATCGATTTAAACATCCTAATTGGGAATAAGCTGATGGCAGTTTATACAAGCTCAAATCTGTAAATAATACACTATTTTAAGTGCGGAATTAATACACAGCCGTCAAACGTAGTTCGAAAGTCATTTAGCTGCGTACTATGTGAAATGCAGTCAAAAAAAAGCTTTTAGAATATACCAGACTTCACAGTCTGCTACCTTACTCAGACGTCGTATTTTCCCACATATTAAGACAAATGTTCGTGATCAATGGTATCAAACTCTATAATCTGAGTTTTTTTGTGCAACAAAAACAATGAGAAGAAAGCAGCAAGCGACAGAGAATATTGAAAAGTTGAAAAATTCAGTCTAATGATATAGCGGAGGTAAAAGGCATGGATTCTAGGACAGTGGGCTAAGAAAATATCTAGGCTAAGTTGCAATAATCCCGCATGGGCTAAAGCCTTTTATCTTGCTAGATCACCTACCTTGTTCTCTAACGCGATCAAATTTCTTTGGGGCTTTCACTAAAGAGATATCTGCGCTACTCAGTTATTCTTCCTATAGTTGCTCTAGTGTTGCCTTTTTCCCTCAGAAGCTGCTCTTAGCCAATGTGAATGGCACTAATTCTACTAAGATTTGGAAAAAAGCTTATGAAACAGCATGGATGTGTAAATATTCAGACACAAGTTTTATATGTATTTTACTTTGTGCTTATTGTTGCCATTTACTATTTCGGCTGCAGGTCAATAATAAATGACTTTATATTTCAATATGAAAATATCAATCGAAGCTATCACTCAGCCTCAATCCAAACAAATGTCCAGGGTATCATTTGCAGCTATTTTGTGAAGCAGTTCAAATGGACTTCAGTAACTGAGAAAATATCGCCTTCTTCGAGATTGCATTACTATTGTAGGTTTGTTTTATTTATCACTGAGTGATCTTGTCAATAACCGTTATGTATTTATGACTCACCACTATATATCGAGATTGCTTTTGGCAGAGAAATATGAACACCAAATACATTAAAGAGGAAATTATTGGGTCTGGGACCTATGGAACCGTTTTTCGAGCAAGGGATAAGTTTACTGGTGAACGATATGCTATAAAGCAAATTTTGATTGACAAGTAGGAATTGCTCAAAGTAATGGTTGAAGCTTTGATAATGGCATCCCGGCTTCTACAATGCGTGAAATTGGTGTCCTTATTGAACTCAATCAATTCAATCACCCAAATATTGTGGAGTATGTAAATGACAAATGGAATCGATTTCCCTGTAGAATTCATGAAATCATCCACGAGGATCGCAATATCTCCATTGTATTTGAGTGCTTTGATTGGGATCTTAAGAAGTACATAGATTTTCTCAGAAAACCCGGCCACAAATTCAAGTGTAATCCATGTGGAGGCCTACCAGTCGTCCTAGTTAAGGTAATCCTTATTTATAGACCTAATCGTGTAGGCATTTACAAGACAGCTTCTTGATGCCCTTAGATTTTGCCACAAATACAAGATCATGCATCGTGACATAAAGCCTTCGAACCTCTTATTGTCTAAAACTGGTGTCCTGAAACTCGCCGATTTCGGATTATCCCGCACACGTTCAATAGGCAACCGCACCTACTGTCACGAAATTGTCACTCTGTGGTATCGTGCACCCGAAATAATACTGGGTTCCTCGTCCTACACAACCGCCATAGATATTTGGAGTGCCGGATGTATTGCTTACGAGATGGTAAGATAAAATACTTGACAACTTCTTTTCTTTTGCAGTTTACAGGCAATGTTTTGTTCCAAGGCGACAGCGAAATTGACCAGCTGTTTAGGATATTTCGGAAATTAGGTATGACCTCCTTTCATTCACTTTCCTCAATAGGAACACCCACCCCTGAAGCGTGGCCAGAGGTGACTGAAATGCCTGATTATAATGAGGAATTCCCACAATTTTCACCCCAACTATTCGCTCAACGAGAAATCACGAAAGAATTCCAATCAATCCTAATGGTAAGTGATTAGTCCAGTATAGGCAAGGGCACAGAAATTGCTTGGGTTTTTTGCCAACAAATTAATCAATTGTTTATCCCATTGGTTACAGGAAATGCTAAAACTGAACCCCAAAGACCGTGCAGAGGCGCATGAACTAAGGCATGCATCTTTCCTTCGCGGTGCCAAAATTGTTCCTATCGAGTGAGATTTTATGATGAAGAGCAGTTTGTACTTTGAAATATACTAGAAATCAGTTTGTCCTTACTTTTCTCATCCTTACTGATTTGTCGAGACTGAAAACGAAACCAGTTGCGACTGCGTCCCCTTTCTCCCTATTATTCTTGTTCTCGTATGAGGACATCCGATGACAAGGTGAGCCCTAGAATTTTAAGGTAGTAAGAGAGGATGGGCTCTACCTTCTCAACCAATAAAGTGTGTGATGAACGAAACCCAAATATGCGAACATCCACTCGTGTCGATGACCTATAACACAGTACAAGGTAACAACCTTTTTGATAGGGAAGCATACTTGCGGCATAAATATTCCATTCTTATCTACGCGTCACCTCTGAGGCATGGTTGCTTTCCCAGCTCAAAACAATATCCTAGGTAAATGCTTTCGAGGTCAGCGTCCATGATGGAGTCAATGTCACCGGAGTTGACCACACTGAGGTGACACCTCCCTCCCCCTTCTTACAAGTCGGGTCTTTTCGGCTTAGTCACTGGATGACGAGGAGAATCCAAACCACAATTTACGACTCCAAAAACAACTTCATTTTGAAATCGGATATCCCAAATAAACACTTAAACAACGTCGAAACACCCAGGATCAATGCATCTCCCAACCCATCAATTCCCAAGAGCTCAAAAGAACTCCAGTTTTACAAAATCTTAACCGACAATATGCACTAGAAAAAAGTAAATACATATAAAAGTTCAAATCTACGTTCCACAAAGTAGTAAACCACAGCGAGTTGTAAAAATGCCATCTTTAACTCAAATGCCGAACATTGGAATGTTTCAATTACCTAAAAATTAGCAAAACAGCACAGATGTTTAGAGGAATGCAATGAGATGTAAACGGCCATAAGAACTCTAACTTACTGCCAATAAGAGAGATACTGTCCAACAAGTTTGATGACGTTGGTCTGTCCCTAGCGTAACGTCTTAGCATCGACTGAAGGAGTAAAAAAGAGGTTTACAGAGAGCAATCACAGGCCCAATATTCTTGGGAAAGGGCATTGGTTGATTACAAGCATTCTATGTAACAGTATTACATCCTTTCAGAGGCTAAATAAAAAATAAGTTGATGAAAACGTTTCGAGGAGACCTCGCATCACAACTGCATCACCGTCGTTCATAAAACCACTAGAGTATGCAAATAACTCTGCATTCAATATTTATGCCACTAACCATGACGATCGGTCTAAGACTCGGAGGAAGGACTGAGGCATCTTCAGAAGTAAATCCCCCCTCACGAAATCTTTTCAAAGCGGAGAAGTTCATGTCCCCCCCGGCCTAAAGCAGAATAACAAAAACCCAGTTCAAAAGCAAAAGCCCTCACACACAGAGTAAACGTTGGCGCGCAACCACCAAAAAAATGCATTTAACGAATCAAGGTGAGCACTTACTGAATGATAAAGAGTAACACCAAAGGCGTACATGTCCCGACCAAAGGCTACACACTCAGGGGAACTGACATCATCGAGGGATGGTAAATATCGCCCATCTCCAAGGTCCTCACCGTCACGGTCATCACCCGCACAAGAAGCTCGCCCAAAATCGGATAACTTAAAAACGATTCCAGACGGAACACCAGACTGAAGAATCTTCAATTTGAAAAAGTTACAAGTCAATTTAAATAAAAGGTAATTAAACAATTTCACTGATATCAGGTGGATGAGAAAGGAATAGTGTTGAACACAACGCTGAAATCAAAGCTGCTACTAAGTAGAACCTACATCAATGCACTGCGCGCTCGCCGCCCCCACCAGTTCTTCTGAGGTATAAGCTCTGGGAACTTCGTCATCCTCTAGCTGAAGCAAAATATTACTCGGTTTCACATCGCCATGAACAAGATTTAAGTCTGTGTGCAAATAATCGAGAGCGCTTGCTATTTGTTGTGAAAGGTGAATCAGACACATTTCAGAAAGACGACGTGCGAACAATTGGAGATCATCCGCAGATCCATTGGCGAAGCTATCGTGATAAGATAGGAGGGAATTGGGAGCTCGATTGGGGTAAAGGTAGTTAAAGAGGCTCCCTCCAAGACAAAATTCCATTGCTAAAATTATTGTCCCCGATTCACACCAGGAATCGAAGTATTGGACAATGTTTTTATGCTCCAGTAATGCGAGTGCATTGGCCTCATTCAAAGCTTCTTGTACAAAAATATGATGGTCAGCACTTTCGTAAAGGGATCGTTTAAGACAATGCAACGATCCAGTAATTCTGTGTCGAGCTTTGTATACACATGCGAACTTTGTCCGAGTTATTTCGGACAGTGACACATATGAGCTAGTGACACTAAAAGACTGTAACCAAAACTAAGAACTTACCGATCCGAATCCAAAATTGGGTTAAATAATGCTTGCGGATAAACATCCTCATTCTTGCCAACCTTTTCAAGGAAAGTATTCTTAGCCTGAGCCCTTATCACCTCTGGGCATGATTCCTTGTACTCCAGAAGCATACTAACATCCGATCTGATACTCTTGATTAATGATTTGCAGATCCTTTCAAGAAGCGCAGACTGTGAAGAGATCAGGTCCGTGGACGGACCCGGCAAAGAACTTGGTGATGGATCCCGTGGTAAGAAGGCAGATGCGCGTAACTGCTCACTATAAGCGAGAGAGTCCCTCAGATGAGCAGCAAAAACAGAGGTGTCTTTTGAAATCTTATTTAGAAGTTCAGTGGAGGACAATTCTTTACAATCCGGCTCGTCTGTGAATAGGGAAGTACATGGACTATTCGATGCATTGGTTCGGTTAATAGCATCAAACGATGGTGAGGATTTGCCGAAAACGGGTGAGATTTCATAAAGATTGGTAGAATGGCTGGTACTGGGCTGGTCTTCAGGACTGATGTAACCCTGTTGAGGAGAAATAAGATCCGATGTCCTATCAACGGCAGGCGTTGACGACGGAAGCGGCGGGCGCTTCGGGGACGGAGAGTCACAAGCGTACATCAACAGAGCGCAAATGATCCTCAATGCACTAAAACACAATTCCCTTATTCAAACTACAAGGGTGCGTAATGAAACAAAGGAATTTTAAATTTAGATAAGACTGTTATATTATTTTCCATAGTTAACTAATTTTTTTGATAACGCGGCACTTTGATTGAGCTTTACTTGTTGCGTCTATTACAGGTACTTCTGTTATTGCGGTTAAATTACACTGGGTGTTTTAATTTGCCTAGACATTCTTGTGAATAAGCTTTTTTTTATTCGCAAGATAGTCCATTATGAGGCTTCATCGGTTTTCATTCTGGTGATAATGTCTACATTTATGAAAGTTATTTGCAGCATTACAAGTTAGCCCTGGCAATACACTGAAAAATATGTAATGCATTAGCTATTTAAGTCACGATTTGAATGACGGGCTACTTAAGTGCGCCACAATTATGCCTTCACTAGATGGGCTGGGCTTCAGGCTATGACGGTGGCCCCAATCCCTTCCGTTTATCGAATATGTATTACGGCCGAGCATCACGTCTCATGGCGCCGCATTGGTGGCAATGGAAAGCGACTCCGAACCGAAAGAAAATCTGCTTCGATTTCTACTGCCGGATGATTAACCTCACCCGGGAGGAAGAAGTGCATACTCTACAAAAGGACGAATCGGTGATGATCCCCAATGGGAGAGCTGAAAATACCATCAGCCGTCGGCAACTACCCATCCCGTGGTCTACAGGGAAACTCTTAACAACGGAATCATCATCATCTACTAATCATCTAGTAAAGCTTCGTTACGAACCTGTTTACCAAGTCTGCTTGAAGATATCAAATCTATGAAAACGCCGATCCTACCCCACCTTGCTACTAGCTGGATAGAATCCAGATAGATGTGCCTAAGCAACCCCGATGTGCGAGCAGCGTGACAAAAAGGAAAAGGCATAAATCTTTGTTCCAAA